AGATCGCCAGGAACGCCCAGCCGGGTCAGGGTGCCAGGCTGCCTGCTACCCAGGTCTTGACAGTTGTTAGACGACGCTGCTTAGAGAGTGTCTAACCCGTGGTGCAAAGCCCTTGCACTGCCCTGGCATCCGCAGGCTAGATTTGCCTAGCCTCTGTTTCTGGATCAGTGGCCCCTGAACTTGTCTAAATTCCTTTTTATCTGCCTCCACAAAATGTTGTTGCAACTGATTCCGGATTTTGTATTATCTGCTGTGTAAAGGAAGTGTTTTCCTTTGTGTTAAGCAGGTTTAAGGGTTATATCTCTTAAGCACAGAGCATACAGGATGTTAAGCATGTGTGTAACAGTACAAAAGTAGCATAAAGGTAAGTACATACATTTCAAGACAGAAAAATTAAGTTATGCAATGCAGAATTCCTCACATACATCTCTGGCATTTATGCTTAGTAAGGAAGGAGGCTTCCAATATCCAATATGTATCACTTTTGCCTATAAAATGATACAACATTTGCATTTAAAAATTCTTTTAGCTCAACACAGCTTCTGGTATTCCTTTCTGGTATTCTATTCTGCTGGGGAAAAAAGAAGTCAATACACACAATGTTGTAATGTTTTTTCCTGTTCCCTCAGGCTTCAATGGATTTAACAAGTCCTCCGCTATCTTTAAAAGATAATGGTTTTGTAAGTATTTCCTGATGTGCTGCCTGGAAAAAAATCTGTATTTGACAATAGTATCTCTGAATGAAGGTGTGTGCTAGGACTGCTAGGACAGTGCTTCTGAAACTGCTTGTCTCACCTTCTTCCATCCTTTAATACTTTGGACACTCCTTGTTCCTGCCTCCTGTTTCCATAGGGAGAGTCCCATTCCAACGTGTCTGCATTACAGATTCTGTTAGAATTTTCCTATCCTACCTCGCTTGCTCATCCGTCCCTGTGGGGGTTTCTTAAGGGAATTTCCTTTTTCCTGGCACCTCCCTTGATTCAGTTCCTGCGGTGTGGCAAGTAGTTTGGATGGGACTTTCCCTGGGAATTCTTGCATTTCCTTGTTATTATTTTCTTTCTTTCGTGTTGAAAACTATTGTCTTAGACTGTTTCTCAGTAAAAAACAGGCATCCTTTCTTATCAGCTTCCCACTGTGGCACGTGCATCCTGCTGCACTCAATCCCTTGAGCGAAGGAATTTTTTTTCTGGTTTTAAGTTATACACAGATGAGGATTTCCCTGTTGCTTAATAGGCATTTGAAACTGGACAAAGTAGTGGAAAAAATTATTTTCTATTTTATTGTTTCTAGGAAATACCCAGCATTACCAAGGGAATTGACCTTTTCCATGCCTAAGTTTCATGGTTCACATTGAAGTGTTATGTAATCTTAAATAAAAGGGAGGAATTGTCTCAACAGATCTCCCTGGATTTTTTTTTTTTCTTTTCTGCAGAATATTGCAGCCATAGAAACAAAACAGAACAGAGAAGATTTTCTCTCTACTTGGGCTTTATCCAGTTGTAGTTTTCCCATGCTTGTGAACTTCTGCCCTGAAGTACTTAAATTCTGAAATGCTTCTTTTATCACCTTCCTCATGCTTGATGTTACCTTTTATTGTCCAATCTCCCTGAGCTTGGAAGCATCCCCTTTTGAATTTTTTTTCTCATTAGGCTTGTATATTCCTCATACATTCTCTTAGGGAAACTGCTGAGAAAGCATATAGATAAACATCTGTGGATTTGAGGGGCTTAGTTCCATGTGGAAGAACATACAGACAACTTGCTTTGATTATCTGTAATTCTGTGATTTATCAAAATATTAGCCCATGAATATTTTCAGCTGGATAGTTAGCAAATAATGATTACTGTTCAGGATCCATCTGCTTTGATTTTTGTCCTGTCCAGCCATTAAAATAGTTCAATGATTTGGCCTTAGTGTCTGAGTGCATTTTTTAAAAATTATGTGGTATACACTATCGTCTGGCATGCAGATTCTAGATTTAATTATGAAATACAATCGGTCTCTCAAAATGTTTGACTCACCACATATCTTGCCTGCGTATTTGGAGAAAAACAGCAAACAGGCCCATGGGCAAAATACATTGGAGTTTCATTAATGGACATACATGGAAAACTACCATGGCAAAATGCTCATCCAACTGCAGAGGGTTTATTTTTTTTTATTTTGAATTGTTTGGTTTGTCTCAGTTATTGTCTAATGGAGGGGAAAACCTGTGTGTGCCTCTTCTTGTCTCTCCAGAATATGACAACCCCTGACCTTTTTGGCACATCAAAAGATGAGATGGAAAGACTTAAAGAAGAACTGGAGAAATGGAAGGCAAGTTCTATAAAGCACATAGAATCACGGAAATTAGCTGAAAGATACTTGGAAGACCTTTAGTCCATCCTTCTAAAACCAAATCACCTCTCCCCCAATTACAACATATTTATCTAACTTGTTCTCTATTCTTCAGTGGTACGTGCTTGTGTTGATCTCAGTGGTAACTAAACTTGTAAGTCTAAGAAAAATATTTATCCAAAGTGTTAAAAATAAATAAATATAAAGGTTTTACTGAAGGTTTTGTTTGTTCCCATGGAAGAAAAAATATTTTAAAATCTTTTTCTTTTTACTATCCAGGAAAGAGTTGAAAAACTTGAGAAAGCAAAAGCTGACCTTCTTCTCTGTAAATTAAGTGCTGATGGAGAGTATGTTAAAGCAGAGGAGGAGCTGATAAAGCTAAAGGACTTTCAAGAGAAACAACATAAGGACATTATTATGTCTAGGGACACCCATGAGGTATGGAGAAGGCTTACTTAGTATTTGGGGAGTTGTGAAGCAGGTATTGATTAGAGAAAATAAGAGTAACACTTCCGTTTCAGTTTAAACAGCTTTACAGGTTTGCAGACTGTATGACTAGAATGTTCTACACATAGTTTTTCAGTGGCCGATTAAGAACCAGTGCAATATAGTAAGTCTTATGGCAATGTTGGAAGAGTGAAGGCAAAACTGAGATCTGTCTTGTATAGAAGACGAAGACTGACAAAACCAGTCTTCCTCTTCCAAGATTCTCCACAAACAGATGAGTCTCAGTTTCATGTGATGCAGATAAAATTGAATGGGTTTATTCCACTGCTTTGTCAACTCCCAGCCAGTCTTATAGGACGTCACAGCACCTAAGGGATTAGCATTTCTTGAGTGACGACGAGCTGGGCAAGAGCCAGAATCTGTCTGAAGAGGGCTGTTCTTTCTAGAACTAATTGGTTCATTTCCTCAATGTGCCATATGCAGTCATTGGTACAGTAATAGGAGAAGTTTCCATAGGTTGTCAAGAAAGTGGTTTCAGTGAAGTTTGGTTTGGCCTGTAAATCACTGATGAGAAATTATGGCTTCAGTATTACAAGCTATTAAAATATAATTAATAGGTTAAGTACACTCAGGTTGGCATGAGATTTTCTGAAAGTTGGTTTTGGTTCTCCAATCGTACATGTTTGGACTTTACAGCCAGAAGAGATCATTATCATCACCTGGCTTTTGTTTTACATTATCTTCACCTGATGGGAACTGGTCTAAATGTCTCGAGTAGTTAATGACTTTAAAGGAGCCATCTTCTAATTGTGTATGACTGGCGCTGACTACATCTGCTGTGTTTCTTTCTCATTCTGTTGTGTTCCCTGTCCAGGAAGTACTGGATTTAGTTACATGGGCTTTATGCCCATTTAGAATTCATTGGTGTGGAGGAAGTATGTAGCAGAAAGGAGGTTGAAGAGGTGTTCCCTCTTCCTTGCTGAAGAAGTATAAAGAGGGAAGAGTAGCAGTGTGTCAGAAACTGTCCTCATGTGGCAAACTTCTCAGAAAAGGGAGTAACAGTTACTAAGATCACCCATGGTACAAAGAATAAAATGTTTGTGTGTTGACATAGGCTCTGACCTTGCATGTATAAGGAACAGACATGAGCTATGGAAAGCGCTGTGCAATTTATGGTATGCTGTATGTGTTTGGAAACACTAATACCTCTTTTTAAAAACGCTCTTACTGTAATTTACTTTGACTGAAACTGCTCCTTGGTGAGTGAATTTACTTTGCAGATAGTTAAAGCTATGCAAAAAATGTATCATGCATGGCTGTCATGTAGACTAATTAAGAGTTAAAACTGTTTCTAATGTGTACAGATTTTGCCAAAATACATTTTTGTCTTCTATGTGTTTAATTTTGCATTTAATACTTTTTGGGCTGTAGAGAGAACTCTATGTACTAAACCAAGAAAACGCTGAGCTGAAGAGAGAGGTTGAAAAGCTCAAAGAAGACCTTGCAAAATGTAGTTCGGTGCTTTCACAGGATGGTCAGGTAAAGTTTGAAACATTTTGCAATTTTTCTTTCAGAAGGGCACATTTTTATTTTGTCAATTCCAGACCATTGGAGCCAATTGTTCAGCATTTGAACCTCTACTCATTTCAATGTAAAATACAGCTTCAAGTTTCATTTTCGTATTTTACCTGGCAAGATAATGTGAAGCAGGCTAAGGATAGGGAAACAAATATAGGTATGTGAGATATTAAAAACATGAGAGGAATGAAGACAAGCAGAAAGCTATTAAATGGAAGACACTGGAATAAAAAATATACATGGCATTAGTAATTTTCAAGCACTTTCATATTATATTTCTTGTCCAAGGGGATGGAAGAAAGGGAGTAAGTCCATTATATGGCAAATGCAGCATTTATTTTAGCCTATATTGAGCTTGACTTGATTATAGTCTCTGTCATGTTACTCGAAATCAGAAATAACTCAATTTGCAGCCCGATAAATATTAGTGATAATAAATAGATTTAAACTTGGGATCCAAAGTGTCTTTTAGTGAAACTGCTATGGGTTCTGAGGTGTTCAGGAATTGAAAATTTTCTTGTGGAAATTTCAGCTTTTGAAAACCTGTTTTCATTCTGAATTGGAACAAAACCAAGTATTTTTGGGAATTTACAGGAAGATGAAAACTGTGATCATTTTTTGTTTATACAGAGACTGAAACTCTATCCAAGTGTTACCTTGTTTAACGTTAACATGTTGCAATGTTAGCTTTAGCTTTCTAAATTACATATCTAAGTTCAGGAGACGTCAGTTAAGTGCAGCCTCCTAAATTTCCCATAGAGTCATTGGAGAAGGCAAGGCTCCAGGGGCCTACACCCCATGTCTGAATTATCTTTGGGAAGAGTGACTCTCTTTCCGTTGGCAGTAGAGGGAATGGAAAGAAAGCAGGCTTGTAGATAAGATGCTAGCGTTGAAGATAAGTGGCAGGAATGCTTTAATTACTCTGGTTATTTTATCTCAACACAAACAGTATTTTTCTTCTACACAGGGTTTTATTCTGAAATAGTTATGTAAAGGGGAAAAAAAGAGTTACCTGAAACTCCCTTAAGTCTATGAAAGCAGCCTTTCCTAACCCACATTTTCATGAACAGTTTTCTGTTTATCCTAGTTATAAAATACCTGGATATTCTTACCTGTTTTACCAAGATGGCAAAATACAAGGCGGTTTATTAGCAGACTTCCCATTGCTGTAGAGCAGTGATGCAATTACGCAAAGATAAATAACAACACAAATGACTCTGATACTTGCATTTTGCAAATTTTAGATCCCAAAAGTATTCTACTTCTGCAGGTGGAAATCCCTGTGGACTTCAATTGAATTTTTACTATGTAAGGTCAAGTTTAAGTTCAAAGTTAATCAAAGGGGAAAAAAGCCCCAACAACAATCTCATTGACAAAAATCCCAGGAATAGACAAGTACAACTAGTCAGTTTAGTTAGAAGAGTTACACCTGTTTTAACAGCCATGACTTCAATCTGCTTGTCTGTTAAACTTTAAAAAACCCCAAAATATATGTAGCACTTCAAGGAAAGACTACTGTTCATTTTTCGGTTCTGCAATAAATTACAGAAATTATTTTTTTCCCTGTCTTGATTCTAAAATATTAGATTAAAAAAAAGGTAGCAGAAATGAAAATGAAGTTCACTCGCATGGAAGACATGAAGGATGATTATCCAGATATGAATACTCACTGTGTTTTTCATGTAACTACAAAAATCCCATTCAGACTGAATCAAAATGAGGCACTGCTTACTTTTGAAGACGAAGAAGGTATGAGGCATATTTTAAGTATAAATTAATGTCTCTGGTATATTTCATTGCCAAAGGGGAAAAATTTACATAAACATTTGGGGAAAAAAAATCAACAACAGCCAAAGAAAGAATACATGGAGAACCTTTCACTGTTATGATACCAATCAGTAGAAAAAAATTCTTGCAAGCACTCTGCATGTTTTTGTTGGATTACCAGATTTCTGCTCTCAGCTAATACAAACAATACTTGTTGTTTGAAATTGGGACTATTTCCACCTCACAGAGTATTGTCAAGAATTATTCAAAATGTTTTGTCAGCAGAATTTGATTATTTTCTTTACTCTGAGCAGTACCTTGTTCTGCCAGCAGTTATGTTGGTTAAGTGTGCACATCAGATGATGGGTTGATCTGAGATGACAGAGGGATGGTGCAGTCTGTAACTTGCCTGCTTCCCACTGAGATGTTTGCTGTTTGGACAGCCTGGTGCCTGCCTGCAAGGAGCCTGCAGGCACTCTGGCTGGGCCTGCTTGGTGTGTAACTGTTACACAAGTACATTGCACATCCAAAGCTAGTGTAGTCCGATTCATTTCTTACAGCTAAAATCTAACATTGCTAATGGGTGTTCTCTGCACCTGGTAGTGATGCGGTTTTCATCGAAGGATATTTTAAATGATGTATGAGAAGCCTACATTGACTACTTGATACATCTTTTGACAGCATAAAGATTCTACTATTCTATACTGTTCTAAAGATAGTATAATATTTTACCTGTTGCCTATAGCCAGTGAGATTTTATGGAAATAGACATGCCTGAAGACATGGACAGTGGGATCAGTTTGCCTGTTACTTATTTCTCCTTTATTGATGCAAAAGGAGATTTTGCTTAAGAGACTGGGGAATAGTTTTGGTTCTGTAGTGATTAAGCAAAGCTTTTCATATCTGAAAACTTGTGATTTTCCTTAGTTGCCCAGAGACTGATAAAAATGGGTAACCATACTGTGAACCTGGACAACAAAATAGCAGATGTGAGAGTGAAGCCTTTTACACTTGAAATGGGAATCACATTTGAGGTAATCAACTGAAAATGAAACTATAAAGATACAAACATGCAGTACTTAAAAAGCTTTAGGTTCTTTTTTTACGTGTGTTTTTCATCACCAAGTGCACAAAAAAAATTATTTTTTTAGCTCCATATCACTATTTCTGGAAAGAAGATCAACATTTCAGAAGTCCCTGAGCTATCCATTCCTGAAGACTGGATGAGAGACAAATTAGAGCTGAATTTCTACAAAACTGAACAGGGAGGAGGAGGAGAAGTAGAAAATGTGAAATATGACAAGCAGTCTAGAACAGCTGTTATTACGTTCCTCAGACCTGGAGGTATAGTATGTAATATTTTGTTAGCTAGCTATACAGGCCATATTGTCCATTCCATTCCATTCCACTCCACTCCACTCCATATTACATTCTGTGTTAACTTAACCACTGAATGTAGCAAATTCTTCCCACGGAGAGTTAAGTAGATCAGGAAAAGATATAGGTTAACCCACACATCTGTAAATAAAGCAGTATGTCATCATATTCCTTTTTGATCAAACATGACCTGATACGCAGTTTGTAAGCTTTATGTCTTTGACAAAAGCCTATTTTTTTCTTTGCATTGCTATGCACTTATATTGCAAAAAGAAAATTAGGAAAATGTGTTTGATTTTAGCTCTTGTTTCATGAGAATGAAGTTAGACAGGCATTCAGATTGCCCAACTGTATGAAATTCTATGAAGATCAGTGGAGTCACATCCATTTAGAGCAGCTGCTTTAGATTTATTTCAGAGGCTTTTTTGGGTATTTAATGATTTTGCTTTTTTGGAAATACCAAATAACGTTTTTTCAAAATGCATATGAAGAATCTGCAAGTGTGCTATCATATATTAGTTTCTAAATCCATATAAGAAAGACTAGTCTGTTCTTTGATGTGCTTACAAAATGCATTTTAGATTATATTACTCTTTCTCCTCTTTTCTCATTCTCCATTACAGCAGCTAACAGCTTTGTGAGATGTACTAAATATCCTTTCTTTGTAAATGGAAGGTGCTATAGGCTTTCTGTGTCTCCAAACACCGCCGTACACTTGGAAAAATTTCAGGTAAAAGAATCTAGCCTGGGCTAACCCTTAAATAGAACAGATATGTGGGAAATAGGAGATATGGGCAGAATTTTCAGTTTTAAGGGCTGCAGAAGCTTTTGTGTCACGCAATTTGTGAAACTTAATAGCAAGTGTGAGACTGCAATACGCTGCTCTGTGGATAATCTCATGTTTTGCAGTGTGAAAGCCATAATTTATTTTAAAAGGCTGTGCATGTCTTTCCTTGATTGAATTATATCATTACTTACCATAATGTCTGTGCTAGACAGGAGGCAGATACTGAATTATTTGTGAAGTAGGTTAATAGTAGACACAACAACGTTTTTGCAAGTCACAAAGCACTGTCATATTCATCCCTAATGAGAGGCCTTGTTGACAGTCTCAGCGAAGACCCTTGTTCTATGAAACATTTGCTCATCCATTTTTTTCATTCATTCAACCCAAATAGTGACTTTTCCTGTAACACTACTCTGCTTGCTCATCATATTCTCACTGAAATTTTACTTTGTAGGAATAGATTGTAATCAAGTCAGTGTTGTGTATATAATCAGGCCTTTATAATTAAAGCATTTACTAGAGCATGTGCGTTCATGAGATACAGCAACATTCTTTGCAGGTGTGTATCATCTATTTGGCATGGGTTTTTATGGAGTGATGCTGTCTAGAGTCATGGGACATCCCCAAATCCAGCGTGTGTGCGTGTACATGCAACAGCTGATGTATAATACAAGTTTATTTTTCTTTCCTCAATAGCTCTATTGTGGGATTTCTAAGAAGACCATTCTGCTGAAAGGAATTCAAGAGACAGAAGATGATGAGGAAAGTGTACAGGACATGATTGAAATTCATTTTCAAAAGCCTAGTAATAGGGGTGGGGAAATAGAGAAAATCAAGTATGTTTCAAAAGGAGTAACATGGGTTTGTTTTGAGGAGGATATTTAGAATACCGTACAGAAAATTGTACGTTGAACTCATGAAATGTTGAGGTTTTGCTTCATCAGAGGCATAGGTAGTTATGCAGACATTGTACTTTAATGTTCTGAAATTTGTACTTGAAAAAGAGGAACTACCGCTCTTTCTGATTTGTGTAACACCACAGACTTTATATAGAAATTCAGTAAAACTCGCTGCTTGTTCCAGAGGTTCCTGATTGAATCACAGAATCATTAAGGTTGGAAAAGACCTTTAAGATCATCAAAAAGCCTTTACCAGCACTTGAAAAAAATCTAAGATTGCTGTCTGCAAATTTGCAGATTTTGTATCTTGCGCATTTTAGATAGGTCGCATACACCAAAGCAAGATAAATCTGTACCTTCTTACATTTTGGTTACAAAAGCTGTATGTAATCCCAACCAAAAGGCCTTCACAGACCTGCTTTTTTCAAGTGCCATAGTGTCAGAAGGTAGCTCTGACAGAACTCCAGCCCTGCTGAGGTTGCTGTGTGCAAATCATGGAAATGCCCAAAAGCAATTATCCTGTAATTTTATAAAATCTGCATTACCAAATTAGTGATAAAATTAAAATAGAAAAAGGGAAAGGGAGAGTGCAAAAATATCACAGATTTACTCAAGAAATTGTCCTTTATAAGAAATGCCATAGTAATACTGCTTTTAGCTGTTGAAACACTGTTACCTCTGCTAGGATCTGATGCAAATTCTGCTGAGCTTCTGATAAGTTAATAGCCTGGTTTATTGTTTGGTTTTAATATTTGTTTCTACAATTACATTTTTCCTCATTTTTGTTTATGATTTTGCTTGCTTGAAAATACTATAGTTAAGAATTGAGACGATTCTTTGTTTAAAACAGATTGCTTTGGAACAAGGCTGGGGAAAACAGTCTGATGGCGAACGCTGAGGTGTCTGTTTTGGCCAGGCTGCTGGCTCTGGGAGGGTATGTAGAGAGGGGTGCATTGGAAAAAGTCATACAGAGTTTAGGGCAAATTAATTTTTCAGCATGTAAAGTCCCCCTTTTGTTTCCAGTTTGTCCTTCCAGTTCTCATTCTAGAAGATCTTTGAAATAAAATGGAAGTGCAAAGTCAGAGAAGGATTGATTTTCTAAGGAGGAATGTTTTCCCTTCTTTCTCTGCTGTGGTCATTTTTATTTGCTACCCTTGGGGGCTGAAATAGTTTGGCAACAATAATCTGAACATCAAAGTAGCATGGGTTTAACATTGAAAATAACTTATTTTCATAGTAGTTGACATTTTAGTATGCAGAAAAAGGACAATGCACCAAGCTAGTGCAAGAGCAGCTTGCACAAATATACAAATATACCTCAAGTATAATTATTCTAGAAAAATTGTTAATAGGTGATAGATAAGATTGAATATTGGAAACTAAAAGGCTGCTAGCACCACAGCTGGTTTTGAATTTACTGTTGGGTGAGATAGATGTGGCTGTAGCACCTCTTGCTGTATAGTGCATGCAAAGGCATGGATTAATTACCTGACAATTATGAAATTATTTATAAAAAAAACGTAGTAGTACTGGAGTGATTGCATATTTTTGCCTGTAACAGTCCTAAAATGTTGTTAAGATCAGATGCCTTAAAAAGAAAGGGGGGGACACGACCTGATGAAGGTAAAAAAATGTCATGAATTTTAACTGTACCTCGCTGAAAAATGTTGAGAAGTAAATCCTTAAAAAGGAAAAAGTTTGAAATTCTTATAAAGTATTACAATGTGTGGGAGTAGTGAGAAGCTGCTGTTTTAAGTACATATAATAAAGATGAGATTTTCAGTAACATTTTGAGATAATCAGTGTTTGTAAATGTCTCAGTTTTCTCTCTGATGAATTGATTATGCTGTTTAAATTTTAAAGCAATAGTGGTGCCACATAAATGCAGGAAAACAGTTTTTTAATGATGAAAAACAATAATACAGAATTTAGGTGATGTTTCTATAAATGGCAATATCCTTTCTTCTACCTACTGGAGTGAATTTATCTTTGACTGGAAATTGGAAGAATAGAATCACAGAACAGTTTGGGTGGGAAGGGACCTGTCAAGGCCATCTAGTCCAACCCCCCGCCATGAGCAGGGACATCCCCAACTCGATCAGGGTGCTCAGAGCCCCGTCCAGCCTGACCTGGGATGTTTCCAGGGATGGGGCATCGACCACCTCCCTGGGCAACCTGGGCCAGGGGTTCACCACCCTCATGGTCAAAAATGTCTTCTTTGTATCTAGTCTGAATCTCCCCTCTTTCAGTTTAAAACCGTTAGCCCCTGTAAAAGCCTGTCCCCACCTTTCTCCTCAGCCCCTCTCAGCCCTGGCAGCTGCAGGAAGGTCTCCCCGGAGCCTTCTCTGCTCCAGGCTGACCCCCCCCAGCTCTCCCAGCCTGTCCTCACCGCAAAGCTGTTCCAGCCCTCGGAGCTTTTTTATACCCATCCTACATACACGTTCTGTACATTTTCATAGGTGCAGCTTCCACCGGGAGCCAAACCGCCAGGTCGAGTCAGCCGGGCAGCCCTGGCCTGGGACCCTCTGCGCGCCTTCGGTACAGCCTCCGTGGCTGCCGTGCCCCTGGGCGCCTTGCTCGTACAGCCGTGCCCTGCGGGGAGGCAGTGAGGGGCTCTGGGGAGGCGGGGCAGGGACGAGCAGGACCAGATAACGCCCGCCGGGG